TCAGTCAGAACCTGTTAATCTGGGGTAATTAAGGCATAATGACTTTTTGCAAAAGCATGGCCGGGACTGCGTAATCTCATAGACTGATTTGGTTGACTAGCTTAGCACGCCTGTTGAACGAGTATCAAATTAGATAGTAGATATCAAGTTAGTATGAAGTTATAACCCTCACTCAACTGACTAGTTGAGTCGCCTTCTTGTGGTCTTACACTTTCTTTGATTATGCCTTCTTTTAAAGAGAAATAAAGCCCATTATCGAAATAAGATTACGTGCTTCTGTGGTTGACCTTATGTTGGTGAGAAAGATCGGCCTATCAGTCAAATATTAGCTGAGCACAAGAATGCTTGTAATGGCAGATGGCTCGAACGATTTGAAGTGGATGAGCACAGTATGAGATTCATCCAAGACGCAGAGATTTGCTGATTATGGTATGTCTGTTACGAAACGCAAAATATGAGAGGTAAGTGAAATTGCTAGATTAGGGAATACGTTGAATGTGAGGAATGGTGGTAGGAAGTTGAGTAAGAATAACTTATGCTTGATTGAAAGAGTAAAGGAGAAAGGTGTTAATCCACAGAACACAAGAAGGCGTCTCAACTAGTCAGCTGATTGAGAGGTTCAAACTAACTTCCCACTCATTCAACAGGCGTGTTAAGCTAGTCAACCAAGTCAGGCTACGAGACTACCCCAGATTAACGGTTTCTCGCTGGTGGCTTCGTAACCTGACTTTCACGTGTAAAGGCTTACATTACATCACTTCAACCAAAGTTACTTACGAACTATCGAAATCTAAGCCGAGCTTTTCCTTGAGTCACTAAAGCTTAATGACCAGGGGCTGGCACTAGGCTTTTTTGCGAATTATCTTACTTATGGCCAGTATTGCAAACAGACGCTAATACAAAGACACAAATTATTCTAAACAGTATGTGTAAGCAATCCTCGTTTTCTAACTTCGTAGTATCACTCAGCAAAGAATAATTGTGGTTTATCGAAGTGAACATTTAACTTGGCACAGCTAAGTTTGGATCCCTTGTAGTCAGTCTTATTCGTCATTGTCATTAAGAGATGCATTACTCCGTCTTGGTGACGATCAAAATTCTTCATCTCTCGTACCCTCAAAAGTCAATATATTTAACAACCCAACGCACTCATCCTATCCGTATCACCTCGCCAACTCGATCATGTTTAGCATTCGTTAAGAAAAATATCCCAAAATGTTTGATAACAATAATACTCGAGCACAAAATAGAAGAGGGTGATCTGAAAGCAATATAAATTCGTCTTCATACGGTCTATTTGATATTCGTAGAGTTAAAGACAATGGATAAGGATATTTGCGGTCGGCGAGAAGTTAAGCCTCAAACACTAAACTATAAAAGAGTTTTAGAATCATCTGGCGTTAACGGAAGCCTAGGGGAGGCTTTAAGAATGGTAATGAAGTTAATTAAATATCTAGTGGAAAAATGTTAAGTTTAAAAGTGGTAAAATATATCATAATAGGAAAAATTCTTCATTCATCTAATGTCCAGTTAATTTTAATGTAACCAGTGATCATTATGAAGCGCATATTTTGAATAAAATATAAAAAATCAAACTTAAATTCAAAATATTAGCAAAAGCTTGACAAACCTCTATAGCTGCTATGATGTCTCGAGGTCCAATGACATGAGAATCATAGACAAAACGTCCACGATTTGTTGACAATGTAATAGCAACCTTTTGAATTCCGGGTACTTTACCCAAAGCGGTCTCAATATTTGAGACGCACGAGGAGCAGGTCATCCCCGTGATCTAAAGTTGCAAAATCGGGATAACAGAACGTGACTTAAAGATAAGATCTAAAAAATATTACAGGGGCAATTTATGACGAACCGTCAATTCTAGTATGGATGAGCCAATTAGAAGAATAGTAGCATCGGTATTTCGTTTCAGCTTGGCCTTGTTGCTTCTCTTAGCCGACTTACTAGCAGGTGCCCGAGATCGGTCGAATGTAGCCTCTAAAAGTTCAGCGCCAAACCCTAGTTCATCAACGTGGTTAGCCAATTGGTTTGGCATGATGTATGCTGGGTCGTAAAGAATATCAGCCTTCATAGCCATCAGAGCCACCAAGACGGAGTGGACACCTGGCAGGATCAAAGACATAAAAACAAAGATTTTAATCAACTGTTGCTTAGCGGTCTAATCAAAGCTTAAGCCAATACCGAGGTAACTAGATGATGAACATGACAACCAATAGCTAGCAAGTTGAAGTTAAACTGTGGTAAAAATAGAAAACAGCTCCTGAGGATACGACGCCTCTGCCTACGCAGGATAAAATTTTCTTCCAAACTAATTGTTTCTTATATCATATAAGAAAGTATTAAAGCTTGCTAAAAACGAGTGATACTTTTAGGAAATGCAGATTGAAAATTTACCTATGAATTGTGACGAGGTTCAGTGCATAGCCAATCTCCTAGATATTTTATCTTTCAAAAGATCATCTCAACTGTATCTGATAATAACAGGTAAGGATACCTGATCGACAAATATAGCAAGTTGTTGGAATAGGTTAAAAAATGCTCCCATATAAATAACCAGAAAGAATATCTCCTATTTGGTTTTAAATAACTCCAATAAGATTTACGCTGACAAAACGCATCATATGTATTGGGTGATAGCAGATTTTAAATATTTGACATATGTACAATCCACTGGGAGCACTCATTATCGGATAAATCCGTGAATATGATAGATATTGTAAAAATCTGGTTGATTATAGAGATCATTTCGGAGATGTGGATCTTGACCTACAGAATGTGTTGATATATCCCATTTAATCTAGCATAAACCAGGGAAGGGAGATCTCAGCCATGGATATAAATCAAATACATCAATATTTCTGGCCTGATAAAGGATGAATATTTTGCGGCTAGTAGCAACGACTCTTGAAAAATATCAACGAACAAAATATTAATATCAATAAATAACCAAAAAGCTCTTAGAAAATCGAGACCGGAACTTAAAAGTATTTTGGTATTTCCCCCGGTAGTTAGATCTTGTAAGGAGAATTCGTCTCAGATACATATTTGATAACAATTTTGAAATCTTGTTTTCGATAGGTCCATCTGTGAACCAATCGGGATAGAAAGGGAAGAGAGTTTTGTAGAGTAGATATTTGACTAAGCATGAAGCGGGATAGTGTCTATATCCAGATGCTATAGCTAAGGAGACAAGGATAAATAAAGCGACCTTGACGATACCAGAATCAATAAAAATGCAGCAGCGACATAAAAATGCATCTGTGTTTATTGAATGAATTCCAAAAAAGGGTCTAGTCGAGCGAGTGAAAAGCACTATGACGTAGAAACCGGAGAAATCTGTCTTAGAGTTTTGCCATCAATACTTTGGTCTAAAGTGACATCAGGTAGTTATTTAAAAATGAATAAAACAATTGTAATCAAAAATATGAAGACCAAGATTGTGTGGCCTTTTGTGTGGTAGCAGTCTCCTTTCGTTGTAAAGAAGTTGC